TTCTGACACTCTATTTACTGTTGTTTGTACTAGTGGGGGGTGGGGGGCGGCAGAGCCAGCTCAGCAGGGAGGCAGGAAGCACCAGACGCCAGCAAGGCTCAGAGCTAGGCTGGAGCTGATCACACAGTCTTCCTTACCTGTGTGAATGTTCGAATGAACCCACTCTATTTCCAGCTGTGTGGCAATTCTCTTCGCTTTGATTTAGGATTTGCATGAGATTTGCCCTCAAACACCATGCTCCCAGGGGCCCCTGACACTGTCCCTCTGTCCAGACCTTCCTCCCTGCTGCACTCTGTGTACATGCCCATGGGTTCCAAAGCTGCTCCAGGACCTGGGATTCTGCCAACCCTAGACATCAGCTCTCCCGCTCTGCAGTGCAATGCTAGAGTCGTCTCTCAAAACTACCCATCACCACCTAGACCAGGGTGCTGCTGGCTGACACCTGCAAAGACAGGAATGGCAGAACCTGTGTTAAATTGGAGATCCTCCCCTCCCCCTAGCAAGGCTATGTGATGGGACCTGGTGGCCCTTGTGAGCGGACTGCAGCAGAGTAGTTCCTATGGCTCCAACATCTCATCCTCTGAAGGCAGGACCAGGAGGCTCATTTGTTCTTAGAGGCTCAGTTGACTGGTTCCCACACAGGGCCCAACCTCATCAGCAGCCCACACCTTCCCTCCCAGCTCCATGGCAGATGATGGGCGACTTTCTGAGTTTAGGTCCCACATTGCACAGTGGGAGAGACTGGGCCTAAAGTACCCTTCTGCCCTGTGGAACCCTTGACACTGGAGCAGGTGCCCCCCCCCCCTGCCTTCCAGAGTGTGACAGCGTTGTGTAGTGCTGCCTGTCTTGTCCCCAGGCCACTGTGGGCTGAGGGGCACGGCGGCACAGTGGGCACACCATGAAACATGCTCCTTATGCTCCCGGACTCTGGCTGTGAGCTTCTTGCGGCAGCCTCACATCACATCTGCCTCCTTTAGGCTAACTTGCCTGGGCTCAGGATTCACAGGAAAGAAACAGGGCATGGAACACAAACAAGATCCACCAGTGACTTCATTTAAAGCATTGAATCATCGTACAAATCCTAAAGCTGCTGTCTTCGCCTTTATAGAACATATTAGACTTCTGGCATTTTAAATAAAGACAAGAACTGGGTGTGGTGGCGCATGCCTTTAATCCCAGCACTCTCGAGGCAGGGGCAGGTGGATTTCTGTGAGTTCAAGGCCAGCCTGGTCTACATAGTGAGTTCCAGGACAGCCAAGCTCATGTAAAGATACCGTGTCTCAAACAAACAAACAATAAAAAAAATTCAAACCAAGATCACTTTTTTCTGTCCACCATTTGCCCCCAAAGTTTTGGTCAGGATTCCCACTTGTCCATGCTCCTGGGGACAGCCATTCAGATGTTGTCACCCACCTGAGGTGGACCCCACCCCTGCCTGTATTCTTACTGGTCCAGAGAGCCACTTATGTCCTTTAGGGTTGGGTGCAAGCTCCCCCCCTTAACCACCTCTGCTTCCCTATCTCTAGACAGCTTGCTTCTCTGAGGGGCATTCATGCTGCCTAGCCTAGTGTCCCAATCTGGAGAGATGGCTCTGTCCTGGTTTGTCACTTCTTTCCAGTGGAAACCTGGAAGACAAACAAGTGCCAAGGTGAGAGGGACTGGGAAAAAGCTCAGACCCCTTCAGCAGAGAACTGGCTGTTAAAGCCCCTTCCTGCTGCAGGGCATGGCTGCCAAACCCTACACTCTACCTAGGGGTGGGGCTCTTCTCCCAGAGGCCCTTCAATATAAAATCCAGACATCATGGTTCTGCTGCCCCTTTCCTGCCCTTTCTCTCCCCTCCCCCCTTCCTGCCCTCTCTCTTCCTTCCCTGAGCCCCAGCTCATGCTCCTCTTTCCTCTCCCTTGATGCTCCAAATGAACCTGCCTTTTTAATATACTTTTAATCTGGCTTGAATTGGCTTATTCCATCAGTGGAGATAACCCATCACTGGCTCCTCTCCTTCAAGTTTTCCTCTGACCTCCTCACCCTTGTGCACACTCACACATATGTACAGAACTCACATATAAACAGGATGGCCTTGACAAAGATCTAAGGATGGAGACAGGTGCTTGATGAAGCAAGAACAGAGTTCTCAGCCAGAGGCCTAGCTTCAGGCCTCCTCCTCCAACACCAGTTCTCATCTTACGTGTGTTCCTGACACTGTGAGTTTGTACCGTGTGACCTCATGCAGGGCTCCTGCCCTCTCTGAGTCTGAGTGTCTCTGACTGAAATGGATCAGGCCTGTATTCCTGTCCCTTGCCTGTGGCCTGCTGAATTTCTGCTTTTTGCATTCTAGCCTTTCAAGGAGTCCTAGGCTGCTCTGATGCCACCCATCTAGCCCTCCACCTGAAGGCTGCAGCCCTGCTTCTAAGGAGTTTTCTGTCAAGGCCCTGCAGTTCCCCAACTCTGTCTTGTTACCTATCTCATGTGCAACTGCCCTGCAAGGTCGATCCATCCATGGAAGGGGGTCACAGGCTGTGGGGGATCAGGAGACTTTCTTAGGTCATACAACTACTCCCGAATGCTGTGACCCAGGAAGCCAAGCCACAGGTTAGGTGGGACAAGAAATAGGAGAGGGGGCAGGGCTCATTGTAATTTGCAGTAGAATGCTGACACTCTTCCCTTAGGCCTGTCCAGAGTCACTGTGTTAGCTAGCTTGTGCCTCCCCTCCTGGCCTTGGCCTCTGAGGGGCCGTTCGGTCACCTCTGTCCTGGGGAACAGCGGTCACTAATGGATGAGAAGCAGAACGTTCCAAGTAGGAAGCTGTAGAGAACAGTTTCTTGGGAAGAATCAGGCATTCTCTTCAAAGTGGTTAGGCAGATCAGAGCTTTGGCACAAGGCATTGTGCTGGAATTACCCACATTCCAGAACTGGATGCACCCCCTGCGCATCTTCAGCACCAGGAGCTACATCATCACCAGGCGCCAAATGCAACTTTCCACTTTCCACAAGTTGTGTGCCCTTTATAAAGCCCCACCCCCATCTAATGTCCACCCCTATCTCTTTTTTTCCCCTATCCCCACCCAGAGGCAGCCTCCTCACCCCCAAGCAAATCTCTTGCATGAGTGAGGTCTGTTGCATGACGTGATCTTTGCAGCAAGCATTTCCTCGCTCTGATCTGCCAAGGTACTCTTCCACTGTCTCAAAACCCTAACACTCTGCTGTCTAGAACATTAGACCAGGCTGGCCTCAGACTCACAGCGATCTACCTGCCTCTGCCTCCTGAGTGCTGGGATCACAGGCGTGTGCCACCACGCCTGGCGAAAATTCCGTTTTTACTGTATAATTTCAGAGCATGGTGGACTAGGCTGTTTTGGTCTGAAAGTAGCTTCTAGCTCCTTCTCCTTCATCATGGCTCAGAGACTGGAGGTTGAATGTGGCCTGCCATTCAAACCTTACAGGCCATTTCCTCAGCGCCTGCTTTTGCATATCTCATAACTGGACTGTCAGGTGTAGGGGAACATGCTACATTTTAAAGATGAGAAGGGTGAGGTCCAGATGGGCTAACCCCTGCTCAGACATAGCCCTTGGTAGCTCAGTATCCAAGTGGGTTCCCTAGTAAGGGAGACAGGAATGGTTTCTGACATGAACTCATGAGCTTCCCCTCCCCCAAGGGAGGAGCAGCCTTGCTAGGCCACAGATAAGGACATTGCAACCATCCTGAAGATACCTGATAAACTAGGGCCAGACAGGAGAGGAGGACCTCCCCTATCAGTGGACTAGGAAGGGGGCAGGGAGGAGATGAGGGAGGGGAGGATTGGGAGGGAAAAAGGGAGAGGGCTACAGCTGGGATACAAGTAAATGTATAAAATTATTTAAAAATAAAAAAAATATTAATATAAAAAATACGTAAGCAAGACAAAAAAAAAAAAAAAAAAACAGATGGGCCTTTGGCCTTGAAAAAGACTGAAATTGCAGCATCGCCCTCTAGTGTCTGCCCAATCTCTGCTCTCAAGGAAGCCCGTAGTTTGCTCTGGGAACAGTGAGACTAGGCTATCAGCCAGAGACACAGCATCCCCAGTTCCCACCCCTCTTTCCATTTCCCTCAGGGTTGAGTTTAGAAGGAGAGAGCAAGAATCTAGCTGCAGGAGGGGCCTGTGAGATGGCTCAGTAAGTAAAGCCGGTGCTGCTAAGCCTGGCAACCGAGTTCAGGTCCTGG